ACAGCAATACTGTGCTTTCTGATCTCAAATCACTTTGAGTTTCTGTTACTGTATAAAACAGATCGACGTGATGGGCTAATCCTGTTTTTGTCTGACGTCCAACGGAGTAAGACAACGGCTTAAAAATAAAAAGTGGCTAATGAAGTCCGTAATACAATAAAGCGTCATTTCAACGATGGGAATCAAACGCTAGCCACTGCGTGAATCATCTGTATGTTGTCCTTCGTTTTTGGAGTTAAAATGTAGTATTGCAGGAGGGGCGGAAAAGGTTGAGTCAGAAAAGAAAAAGTAAAAGGGTTGAGTGTGTGTTAGTATTTTATTCGACTGGAGAGGGTGACTGTCTCGGACTGTCCAACTACTCAGTTGGAGTTTAGGGCTATGTTGGGGAGGGGGTTTAGATGTTCTGCAGGCCAGTATACAGACCGTTTATGGATGGTTAGGACGGCACACACACACACAAACACCACACACACAAACACCCACCAGCCAACAGCACCCCTCACTCTTGGATACACAATTCTGAAATTAAAACGTCTCAGAATTCTCGTCAGAAACACCAGGCACACATCTGTCACAACCTAAAATTCTAATGTCCTTCGCCATGTTCTTCAGTTGGTGAAACCTTTTACACAATGCCCGTTCACATTGACTCAATCACCCAATTGAGTGGGCGCCAATGTCCCACATAAAAACAGTTTACTCTAATAATTCAATACCCCAAATATTGAACAGGGATTAACCAAAGGTTTTTGTTAACAACTTCTGCTCTTTTTGGAGCAGGGGACAGAAAATTGTGTAACCGACTAAACAGCCTTCAAGAATATCAACATGCATCCTTCGGGGTGTGGACCAAAGAAAGGGCCTGCATGTTCCGCCAGTATATGATCTTTGGAAAAGGATTTGTTTGTGCTGAAAAGGCAATATGTTTTAAATGTGTTGCATTTTACCCTGCTCTGACTGTGGGCTTAAACAACAGGAGCGTGATCGGGGGCAAGAATGCAAGCCCGATACTGATTCATGATCTGGACAAGGACAAAAAAACAATAGCCACAATAAAACTAATGGATACATATCAGTACTCTTTCAGGGGCTGAGTAGTAGACCACAATGGCTGGGCGGCTACGAACCCTTTTCAGGAGAAGTTGCCTGGTAGAAATGTGGCAGAATACTTTGAACAATAGACGGGTACTATTATCAGGTCAATTTCAGACAGAAGACATTGTCAACTGATTCCAACTAAGGAGTGGCATTGTTTTTAGCTTATCTGGTGTTTCTGAGTATCTTTCTCTATATTTCAAGGTCTCCAGCTTTGACAAGTAAAACTTTCAAGTCATTTGATTATTCTTTGTTTACTCAAAAAGGTGCATGAGGTCAACATCTACACTATGTTGTTTATGGCTATGTACGATATCAGACAACAGGGTTGTTTTTCTGGAGGCTGAGGTTATCTATATTTTAGAATCTAGGAAATAAAACTATGAAGGGTTGTGTAACGAAATGTAAAACTAACTCTTAGACCCGTAATTAGTTTGGGAACAATGCAAAATAGAATACTAGCGACGCGATGGGCTGAGGCACTCCACAAAACAGCCCACTTTGAGTGAAGTAGAAAATTCTCTCTTTATGTGCCAAGTCATACAATTGTGATAGGTGCTAATGTAATGTCAAGATAACAACAACCCACTGGCGAGACTCCCAAGGACACCTCACCATTCCACATTCTCGACACCAGCTTCTCATAAACTACAGGAGGGACACAAATTGGACGCCCATGTCACGCCACCTTGGTGGTCTGGAGTGGGAGCCCACATGGAGGGCAGCTGTGGAAAAAGCAGTCTGTGATACGGTGTTGGTAGTGATTTCACTAGCAACGACATAATCGCTAAGTTTGGCAAACCCTCTAGGGATGTGTGCCTCTTTGGAATTGAGTTGCAAGGGATTGGGATTTTGTAGTACAAGGGGGCTTGGACATATGCAACAATGGCCCATTGTTGCGGCTGGGCTAAGGAAAAACAGATTCCAAGAAGAAAATACCAGGAACCAAAAGACCTTCATTGCAAACTAGTTGTATTTGACAGGTTTTAATCGGCCGGATCGTTGGGGAATCGTGCGTAGAATATAGGAAGAAAAGATTGTAAGATCTGGTAAGTCACATGAAGAATATCGTCCCAAGATAATGTCAAGCAATAACCCACTAACAATACTGTTTCAGGTGGATTATGTTCACAAAATCCCTGCTCGGTTTTGAGATAATCTTGAAATGTAGGGACCTATCTACATACTCAACCCCAATATATCCAACATGAGTACAATAATGTGATCAAGACCATGTTTATCAACCGCCGATACCCCATGCCAATACGATTATATATCGTTCACCCACATGGTCACGTAAGAACTTTCACGGGTAACTGCGAGTGTGCGGTGTCCATGTGTGTCCAAATTACAGCCAACAATGCCCCATGCGAATACTGACATGAAACCATAACAGGTGTGAGAAGGCAGGCCATGGATTGGATCAGCGAGCATATCTTAGCAAAAGTCCTACGCCATTCCCACCAAACCCCCGATCACTCATGTCCCTAAGAACAATAGGCAATGAAGTGAGGGGGTGGACGGGGTGGAGGCCAGGACCCAATGGTGAGAGGGCCTACGCAAACGCTGCCGAGGCGTCGGCACGCAACTGAGTAAAATGTATTTCAGGACCTCTTACACTTTCACCATCTTCTTCGCTCTCTCTTTCATAGTTTGGCGTCTGGTCGTCTCTTTCCTTTTTCCAAAGAGTTAGTCAGTGTCGGAGTAAATGTTTCCGTCAGTTGGTGTGTCCAAAAGGATGCAGAAGCCGAGGAAATGATATATATAATTCTATTCTCTTTGCAATTAAAGCACAAGACAATGGTAATGATCCCTGACGGAGAATCACCGCTAGAGACAGTTCATTAGGAGGAAAATCATGCACAACTCCACAACTGCTTCAATCAACAATCATTGCACTAGCTTGGAAAGCTATCCAAGGGCACACAATATTGGCCTGGACAACACACCCGACACCACACGACGTCCCAGTTGAACAAATCAGTGTTCCATTTTCAAGTCAGGACTCATATTTCCAGCAGCTAGGCTCAGGGGTTAGCTCTAATGTTAAGGTATTGTAGAAAGTATGCCAGAGCGCCAGCTCGCGCCTATGGTCTTACGGGGGTGGGTTTCCATGGCCCCTTCCAGGTTGGCCCAGGTGCCCCTTAGGTACAAGTCTAAGTACCCTTAAAGTGCCCCATTGTTAGGGCTCAGGTGCCAAATACTACCTAAACCTGAATGTAAACAATACAACGTCTCCTCCTCGCTATAAGAGGAGTCTGTGTGTACCCTCGCTCAGACAGAACCCACGTTCCCCACTTGCTTTGGAATGTTAAACTTCTAGATATATGAGGTTTTAATGGTCTTTCACAAGCACAACGGGCCCGTAGTTCTTTTGAAGAACCATAATAACAAAAACTAAATTACAAACAGACCGGCGTTGACTGATGCCGTCTACTATAACCGTCATCGCTCCCGGAGATGTTAATTGGCTCCAGTGTGATGTGTTCTTGCAGTGTATCTCACTAAATACGCCACGTAAGTTGCTGAGCAGTGCCACCAGAACATGCCTAAAGTACTTTTTTGCAGGCCTAATGCAAAATATGAATAACTTTAGACCACTGACGTGGCAGAAACCGGACACCCCGCTTCAGCAGGTGTTCGCCAGAGGATTGTCTTCACAATCGCTCTGGTGCTAATGATATCAAGTGTAGAATTTCGGCGATTGCAAGTCCTAATGAAAAGGCCACCATATAGTGATTGGGAGGTGGAATAGGATCGAATGGTACCAGGCCTTTCGTAAAGCTAGATGGATCTTGACACGAGGTAATTGTACCTGTGTGGGACGTTGGCTATAAGTAAACGTTCTCGTGACGGTTGCCAATCGGCATACTGTAAAACATACGTTGAAGGATACAATGCAAAGAGGATCGCACCACAGACTTCACTTTCAGTTTTAATGTACACACATTTATAGTCCAGGATTACCAACACTCATAACAAAGACATATTTCGTGAATGTTTAAGGTTGTATTACTTCTTCCTCCTTATCTCAAGGAAGTTATCTAGGTTTATTTAATTTGGCTTACACCCATCTTTCAAACCTGAAAATGGGGGTACGCCTGATCAAAAGTCACCAAAATAAAAAAAAAAAACCAAGGGTGTAAACTCCACGACTGAAACCTGGCACACACTACACACCTCCCTCATTGGAAATGGTGGCAATAGCACAACAGGCAGTGCTGAAGAGGGTGTAAAAGCAACCTTGTGTGTCAATTGCCAGGTTAGACTTTTTCTTCGGGCAGATGTGTCTATCCTATCAGTATCACACAGCCACTGGAGACGTGTCAGATCCACTGGTTTAAACTTCCAGCAATCTGATCCAACACTCACAGCTGCTCTGTAATGATCGGTTGGATCGATTTTCAGAGACGACCCGCACATGGCGTTAGCAATGGGCCAGCTTTTCAGCTTGCAAAGCCTATGCCACGCAGGTTACTTGGGCAACACCAAACAAGATATTAATAACCTACGTTTGCACAAATGGAGCTCACCAATTCATACGAACCAAGG